TCATAAGGTGATGTAGAAGTGATGGTTGGATATTCCCATCGAAAGCTAGTTTTCTACAGACGGGACTGGAATAAAGCTTCGACCTAGCCAGGCATCTACCCCACATCACATTTCATAGTGGGAGTGTTGGCAAAGTGAATTTTTATTTTACTATTAAAATCGACCAACTACTCATTTTCGTTTAAAGTAGGCCTCGAAATTGTCAGTAAGTTTTAAGAATAAGAAAATATAGTTTCCGACCTGCGCACGAATTGCCTACCAATAGTTCAATTCAACGACAGTGAAAACTCTCCCGACGCGGATGAGGGAGCGGAAGAAGCGCCGGTTGTGCCGGACGGCCGATAGCAGGCGGCGTGAGTGCTCCAGCCCGACGACAGGCGGTACAGTGGCCCACATGTCCCAGTCGAGAAGGAGCTGACGAGTGAGAATTGTCTGCCAAGACCGACTGCCCAAACCGCCCAGACCAGCGGCAGATGCGACCGACGAGGAGAAGGTGAAGGATGCGCGAAGAGTGGACCAAAGCATGGCCGCACTCGCGGACGACTGGGCTCCGGCCAGACTGTGGGGTGGGGGCACAGCCCCGGACACCAGACCAGGATGGCCTGGCCCTGACGTCTGCAGGGGCGGCTGTGAAGAAGGTACAATTTTCGTGCTTCCAGGACTGAGATGCAGCATCAATGCAGAAGCGAGATCGGGCAGCCCGACCGCGTGAGGCAATGACGACGAGACCGGAGACTGGGACAAGACCAGACCCGAAGAGGTCATCGTCCCCGGCGAACCCTGGCCGCTGGGTTTCGGGGCAGACGACCCGGCCGCCAGACCCGGAAACTGGCTGGAGACGAGAAATAGCGCGTTGCAGGCCTCGGCCAGGGCGTACGTCACTGCCACAACTCGAGCGTCTAGACGGAGTGGAGTCACCTAAAATTGTAGAAGTGATTTATTCCAATTTCACTCGATGATCCTCGCCAAGAAGAGCTTGATCCGCAATATTTAATGGCAAATAACGGAACATCATTTTGAGACGGTTAAGCATGAAAGTACATGTTGCTATGGTAACGTGAAACAACAACAGCAGGGTCCTATCAAGTGTCAAGAAGATGAAGTGGTAGTTGCCGCTGCTGAAATCCTAGGGCGGCAGGAAACGAATTGAGGATATATGAATCATGTTCGAGGTAGAATTGTTTGGAAGTATGAAGAAGATATTCGTATGTTGATCTCATCAGAAGACGACGGCTGAGTTCTGTTATAATGCAGCCGTTTGGCTTTAGTATGATCTACAGGTTGACGCAGTCCACAAGACATCCTCAATTGTTTTAGGTGGAAACGGGATGAGCTTCCCTCCATCATATGATGGACTTTATCAGAGCTGGAACTAATTCTTGTAAAGGTCTCACGTTAACACCAGGTCAAGAAGACTGTTCTAATTTATCATAACTCTTATATATACTCATAAGTAGTACATGAAAATGCATAGACATGGATATATATAGAATGGTTTGGCTAATTATCTTTCATATAAGTTACATTCACCCTATTTCGTTTAAGGTGATAAAAGATTGGTAGTTGCATGTTCCCACAGTGATATGAATAGAGCTGGCCCTGATTTCCTAAAAGGTGTTCTCATCCCGGCTCGAGTGGATTACAGTTCCGACCTTGTCTATGTCTTGTCAACACCCCTAGCGGGAGTCGAACCATGACAGTACGGTGCGTAATCTTTAGGAAAGCAGGGCCATGTGGAATTTAATGGAAACCTCAGCTCTTTTCCTATCTTTGTGGGAAGATTCAACTACAAGTCCTTGATCGCCTTCGACGAAATAGGATGAATATATCTTCTATTATCGATTTACTGAAGGTCTCTAAACTCTACTTATAAAAGAAAAATAGTTATCTTGCATATTAGTTATGGTACTTTTATTTGATTTAGAGTGTGTGTGTGTTGACGTCTATACGCAATACCGGTCCCACCCAACAATATTATCTTTAGAGATTCATCCAAACACAGTTACTCTCCATATCTATAAAGTAGAATTGTCAAGGTAAAACTAAATTGTAGATACGAAGAGTTATGAGTATATGGAAGATGTCTTCTTGACCTAATGTTAAGTTGAGATTTTTTAAGAATATGCTCCAGCTCTGATAATGTCCGTCATATGATGGACGAAAGTTCAGCCCATTTTCACTCGAAACGAGGGAGGAGGTCTCGTGGATTTTGTCAACAAAAAGGTCTTATTAAAGCCAAGCGGCTGCGGTACAACTTGAATCAAGCGTCGTCTTCTGGTGAGATCGAACTTCGAATCTCATTTGCATTGTCTCCCCAATAATCAACTAAAATTGTATATGAACTCAAGATGAGTTTTGAGGAGGCCTTTAGTGATTTTGTGCGGCTCGTTTGACATGCCATTTTGAGGAGACACTTATTCATCAGATTCACATAAAGTTGAGTCAAGGACCTCTTGGATCTCCGAAGATATAAAGAAAAACTGGGTTCGAAGAAGTGCCTAGTGATATATTGTGACATGATTTTCCATTTCCACACTCTAACCTGGATTGGAACCACATTTTTTGAATGTGATGTGAAGAGAAGTTTAATGCAAATATTTGGTTTTCTCTTTACTGCATCGTGGACAGATGCACCATCAGCAAATGTATAATTGTACAACTATCTTTTCAACTGAAATACAGCAATCGAGATAATATGTTAAAGCGGTATAGCATAACCTCTCAAGTCAACTTAGCTCTGATCCAGAAAGCTGGCAACAATTTCCTCTGGAAAGATGTATCTTGTGACAAAAGTTAGTTTGATACTGGCGTACCTTTCATTTCGTTTGAGAAGGCGGATCGAAGGGCTTCGTAGATTGGCCTCACCGGAAACCAAAGGAGGGTTGCCTTAGACTTTTGTCTGTTGAATCGCGCGAAGAAGACCTCGATGACTTCGTGCTGAGTTTTCGTCCGTCATGTGATGGACATCGTCAGAGCCAGAAACCATTATTTACGAAAAATTACCAAAAACACAAAATCGAGAAAGGGCGGCCAGCTGAGATCCTGCTCACTTTTTATACCTCACTTTGCGATTTCAATAAAGCATTATATGCTTTGGTCGGCTGAAGTATGCTTGCGAAGAAATTTAGGTTTCGAGGAATCTCTTGTTTCATAATCGTTGAGCTTACTTCCATTTCGAGTGAAAGTGTTGGGTCAAGAGATTTCAAGGTCGATTCCACCAGAAGACGACAGCCGATTCCTCTTGACCAGCTGTCGATTGGCTTTACTGGAACATTCATGCTGACGCCGTTTCCGAGGCAATCGCCTTCGATTCCGGTGGAAAGGTGCTAAGCTTTCGTCCGTCATGTGACGAACATCATTAGAGCAAGGTATCATCTTCACAACAAAATTCAAGCTAACGAGTCAAGTTTTCTTGACTCGGTCATTTCTTGATGATGTTCGTGATATGACGGACGGAAGCTTATGACCTTTTCACCGAAATCGA